GCCAGCGAAATTTATAGGTAATATTTTTTTTTATAATAATAAAAAATAACAAGAAAAAGCGTGTCGAGAAAACTAACATACATCTTTTTTTCCTTGCATAGCTTTTCCTTGATCCTTTGGGAAATCATTAACCACAAAGTTCCATTCCACAACATAGATTCTGATGAGATTAAAATCCAGATTCTCAATGGAACACTTCCACAACCTGAAACAAGTAATAACGCACCAGTCAAATATCAAGAAATAATGAAAAGAGGATGTAATTTTGATCCAAGAAAACGTCCATCAATTGAAGAAATATTTAATGTGTTAAATGAATTAGATTCAGAATGGCATAATGTTGATATCAGAGATGAAGATAATAATTTTCTTTCACCAAATGCTGCATTTAGAGATGATGCTTCATTTGAAGATAGTGAATTCTCATTTCATACGGACTTTTCAAATTCAAATTATAGTACATCCGATTTAAATTTAAATGTTACAACACATTTTGCGAAAAAACATTTAACTTTAGATAAGTTTAATCCATTTCGCAAACATTTAGATATTGAAGATGCGATTAAATTACATAATGGAAGACAATATAAGAAGGCATGGAAGTTGTTTAAAGAAATCGAGAGAAAAACTGGGACACCTGATGCAAAATTTTGTGTAGGATATTATTACCTTAAAGGTTTTCATGAAGGACGTGGCGGCATATCAGATCCTGACACAAGCTTAAAATATTTATATCAAGCAGCGAAAGATGGTCAGCGTAACGCTCAATATTGGTACGCTGAAGTACTTTTAAATTCAAATTATAAATTAAAAGCTCAAAAAATTGATAGAGACCATAAACTTGCGATGGCATTTTTGGAGGCGGCCGCAAAACAAGGTTGTGTTTCCGCCCTGAGAGACTTGGGAGAAATTAAGAAGAAAGGGAAGTATGGTAGCTCTCATGATCGTACTATTGGGAAGAATATGATTAGAAAAGCTCATACTATGAGTTTACTTTATTCACTAGATGGCTTAAAATAGAATTTTGCACTCGAAGGAAAAAATCTAATTCAACTTATTAAGTACGTGTTTATTGAGATTTGTCGTAAATGTTGTAATAGTTATTTACCGCAAAATCAGAGAGATCACGGCAGAGCCGTGATACTGTAAGATCGGCGATTGAGCGGTAAAAACTAATATATTTGTTGTATTCGTTCTTTCGTATATGTATCTATAAACAATTTTGTAATGTAAGGAGAAGGTTTTATTGAATAATTATTGAGTAAAAATGAAGTAATTGTGATAAATCTTTATTTAATAATATCAAATTAATCAGTGTTGCCTGTCTGCGCTCGCAATGTCAATATCACTACCATGTATACTTTTACGTTAATATTTGCAAACAAGCACTCCGCCAACGTGAATGATATCTATCATCATCACTTTATGACGAGTTGCTCAAGGAAATGATTGCTTATGATTTATCGCGGAAGGATCTAATCACGAAATGATTGAGTAAATGATTCCGGAGTTAATAAATAATATAGATTAAACAGGGCCTTTAATGGAAGTTAACACCGACATACGAAAGAAACGTGAGAAGACTCATAACGAAGATTAATTTCATTTTTTACTCCGGAGCCGGATATTTCTCTTTCGACCAAGCGTATGTCGTAATTACTACGAATTCTAAATTTATTGACATCAATTTATGCTAATTTTTCGTTCTCCACAAATCGTGTTAGTCAATTTAATCGGATGAATAATTTATACAATTTGATAATTTGATAGCATAGAGATTAGGCTTACTGATAGAAATATAAAAAAATTAGTAAGTGACCAAATAATTTGGTAGTAATATCCGACTACCATTGTTGAACTGTAAAATTCCTTATTTAAAAATTTATACATTCATGACGAAGAGGACATCATTTCCGAATCTATCATGTTTTGTTAAAATTTATTTAAAAATGATAAAGAAAAAAGTAGTAGAATATTATTTACTAAAAAAAAAAAAATCTTTCACTCAATCCATTCGGTTAAAGTATCTAACTTTGTAGAACGTCCTGGCTTAGGTCGTTCAAGTCGTCCTATAAAATTCAAGGTCAACTTTTTTTTGAGTAACCGACACAAATATCCACCACTATGAAGCTATATTCACAACAGAAGTTCTTTGAACAGAAGAATTTATTCTGAATTTAAAGCTCTAGATGCTGATCGTAATGGTATAACACCGTATTCGATGGTCGTAGGAAATATTTTGATGCTAGATCGTTACCTTTTTGCGATCCAGCCACTAAACGAACACTTAGGAAGAACTCCATAGATTTCTCGATGGAAAATGAACTAAACATCAAATATTTTAACAGGTTAATTGTTTATAATTTAGAATTTTTGTATAATTAACTTTAATTAGGAATTAGTGCGCTTATCAAATCTAAGCTTGATTTGGTGTTGAAGTTTGGCATCAATCCAATTTTCCTACACCTAAAAAATGATGATAGGTGTTGATGTAAACTTTTAATGAAAGTTGTGATTTAGTACTTAGATGATCGGATTTAATATTTATTGATGATCTAAATGTACCGGTAGGAATTCAGGAAAAGATCGGTTAAACTTGAAATAATAAAAAGATTCTCATTATACATCGTGTAGATGATTCCAGGCGCTCGTCAAATACTAAATTTGATGATTAGATACTCTAATACACTTACATTAAAAGAATTAAAAATAAACTTTATTTATAGACGGTGTTCAACGATTAAAAATTATTTTTATTTTTTTATTGTATTAATTTTTTTTTTTTAGAATAGTAATAATTTGTTTGTTCCGAACATGTTTTTACAAATTTTATAATTTATTGCTGCTATACAGGAAATTCTCTAATTCCATTTTAGCAAAAGTCAAAACTGATAGGTTTCGACAGGTTTCAAATACAGTCAACTGGTTTCGATATTGAAACCTCCGGAACATCATTCATTTAAGCTATTATTTAAAAATATTTAATAATCAATAATACTATAGGAGTAAGTTATATTTTAATTTAAATCTAATTAATTTAATGTATAAAATTTTTAATGATCGATAATATTTAGTTATAATGTTATTTTTATTTATATTTTATATTTAATTATAAAATAAAGTAGTTAATTACTTTTAGGTAAAATATATGCATCACGTACGTGAAGTCTAACACGGGTAATGTAGTCGATTATCACGTTACTACTAGACGAACACAGCGTCGCCCGTAAAAATGGTAGCCGGATTTTATTTGCCGGGTATTTATTATTAGGGTTAGTATTGGAGTTATGGGTTTGG